CAGCAGGGATCATAACAGCATGTATAAATACCTGATAAAGGGAGTAAAGAAGACATAGCCAGGCTTGGATCTTTCAATCACTCCATAGTGACTAGTGAAAGGATGAAAAGCAATGCTCACATGACAAGAAGTTCTGTTTAAACATCTGAAAAAGCTTTTTCCACTGGTTACGGCGATCAAGCACTGGGATTAACTGCCTAAAGAGGTTGCAGAACCTTCACCCTTGCAGATATTTAAAATCAGACTGGTCACAGCCCAGATCAACCCAATCTGGTTAACGTGCCATTGGAGCAGGGCAGGTTGGACTGAATGATCTTCCAGCCTCAACTCTTCAGTATTGGTGGTTCTGTGAAATTCTCAGTCAAATGTACTACCAAGAATTCAACATCACTGAAAATGATGTTTATAAAAACATTCAAACCATTCTTTACTATTCCCTTCTCCAAAACTAGGATTTTCTTACTACTCACCATTAAATTTCTGCAGTCGCTTTTGCTTGGTACCTCAGTACTGGGAGGGCCTTACCTTCAGCCTCTTGCCAGCTCCACTAAGGGCTGCTCTCAGAAGGTCATAATCAGAGCTGACTGCCTGAACAGTAACATTCAAGACATGCAGAAGCCTTTCAACCAAGAAATGTTATGTCTTCTGAGCAGGAAAACTGGTTAGGAAGGGATGAGTCATGACGATCTTATTCCCATCAGCAATTCCCTGTCCTGTCAAGTACTCTCAGAGCAAAGTCAAGCCAATCCTTAGACCATACTAACAGGATTAAAAACACAGTAGGAAGTACCCTAAGCTTGACCACAGTTTTAACATCCTCAGCCATGCCTCAAACATAAAGCAAATACAAATCTCACCTTGATATTTTGCAAAAAAATCAGAAAGCCTCTCCTCCTAAACCAGAGACAGCCTGATTCCTAACTTAACAAATGCCCTCTTAAAACAGTCCACTACACTAAGTTTTCAACATTATTCAAAGTGGAAAGAACCTCTCCAGCTTCAGTGCTAATGAATGCTTTTGTGGAATTGCAACCTTATTCGCAATGCAGAGAACTAGGTTATTGAAATTAGTAAGTCTCCTCAGGAAAGAGGATACCATTTGACATAGTAAGAATGGCAATTAGTGCTGAATCTCATAAGAGATATTAACTTGTCACAGAACTTCCCTTCAGTCTTAAAAAGTATGTAGACTCATTGTGATGCTTATATTGAGGATAAGTTATCAAGGTATGCCTCTTTCCTTTATTCTGAAAGCAAAACATTAGTATTACAGTTAGAAACTAAACATTTCTGAGAACCCAGTAAACTCCTCCTCTCCCAGATTTAATTGGCATTTCACACATGATGGACAATATTTCTTTCAAAAACTATTCCCCCCTCCCACCCCTATTGTAGGAAGAGTATTCGGCTTACCTGAAAATAGAAGAAAGCTTGGCCAAACCAGTAGTGCATGATAGTAATCTGTGCTGCATCAAATTTCAAAGGTCTCCAGATGTATTTTGTCATCATTGTCTGAATCAGCAGACAAAACACCAAAACTGGTAAATTGTGAGGTCTAAGTAGAAGGGCTGTTAGCAGAACCAATCCACTATACACTTCCCATAATCCTGTACTCCTTACGCTGGAGTCTGCAGATATAACCTGTGACTTTAGTAAATCTTTAGTGCCAGTGAAGACTATGCCAAGAACAAAGACATAAACAAAACGAGCTTCAGTAATCCCCCTAAAGAGGAAATAAAAAAAAAGTAATAACAATTAATAAATAAATAAAACAGATGAGCTACCTGCTAATATCTATTTCACACGTCAAGAAGTCTTTCAAGAGAGGTGCAAGACAAATGCAGTTCTGCCACACAGGTTAAATTCTAAGGCTAGTACTGGCCAGTTTCATGAGAGCTTTCTCAAATACAAAAACTCTAAAATAGTTCATGCTTAAATTACACCACCTCCAAATCAACTTCAGCAAAGAAACAGCTTGTGCTAAAAACTAAACTGACTTAAAATATAAACCCAAAGTTATATGTCAATTAATGTAACCAATTAATTACTATTCAAGGTCCAGATCCATAAATATAATCACATAAATATGCCATTTATATAGCAGCATGAATTTCCCCAGAAATATTCCTTGGACTGACATGGAAACTGTATTTCAGGAATTAAATGGACTTAAAAATTACTATTTTCTTTAAGCTGTTCAATGATTTTCCACAACTCATTCACACAAACATACATTTCTTTTTAGACAACCAAATAGATAGTCAAGGTATTTGAAGACCCTTATTTCAGTCTGAAATTCCCACATACTTCAGGCATTTTCTCACCTTACACAGCTGCACAGATATAGAGATACGCTGGTTTATACCAGTACATTTTTTTCCTCCTAACTGTACACATTTTACAAGTTCCTAAGCAATCCCATTACAAAATAAATGAATGTTTTAAGTAGTAAGAGTAGTTAGCATCTATTACTATGCTCATTACACTATAAATTCACTGGCCCTTTCATTTCCAGTGGAAGTCAGCTTCTGAAGAACGCACAGCATCTTATCCAAAAAGCTGACAACGACAAGGACCAGTAATCTTAAAAACTGTGACCCACTATTCTAGAAGTGCAAGGCCCATGGAACAAAGAAAGTGAAAACAGATATCCATCAGAATTGGGTGATATTCTTAGGTTTATGGGGCAAAAAAATCACAGATGATGTTAGTGTGAGCTAAGCTACAATAACAATCCAATGAAGTCACCAAATGAGCGTATTAAAAAGTTTGTCATTATGAATCTCTTTTTCTATCTTGCAAAAGATAAAAATACACCTTATCAAAACACTTTATCCATATTTTAATATACACTGTCCTTAGGGATTTCCAGTCACTTTATACATGACTGGTGAATGAACAGGGTCTCCTCCAAAGTTAATGTAATTCACATAGAAGTGAGGATTCCTGAGTCACAGAGCCTTAATAATATATGGAGGATCAGACCATGACACTAAAAATAGTAAAAGCACAGTTACACTTTGTGTAACTAGTGTAACTAGATGACCACAGAAAAAAATTACTAGTGAAAATTTGTAAAAATAAATTTCTCCTTTAAAATTAACATATTTTTTCAGTTTTTGGAATGTCACCTTCCTTTTCAAAAAACTGCTAACAAATGAGCTTGAATTCAGTCTTCCTTCTCCACATCCAGGAAAGAGAACCAAAAGGAAAGAGGTGAAATAATAAGCAACAATATTTACGTGTCCAGTTGTGTTTTTTTTTACATCCACAAGAAAAGGCAAAACCAACACATGATAGTGATGTGGCCTTCCTAAACACAAATACAGTGCTCTATTCTGTGGTTTACCTTTCAAAGGTTCAAACTCATACCTAATGGTCTATGCAAAGAGGCTTTACTATTTCATTCCCTTAAATAGAAAGCCTTTGTAAATATTCTATAAGCCCCATTGTCTTTCTCCTTCAGAGAAAAAAAAGGTAAAGTTTAGAGAGTTCCTGTGTTTTTGGCTAATGCAGAAATTCAGTGTCCCTTTTCAGGATCTCTGGTAATTCTGATGTAATTACCATAAAATATTCAAATATATTCACATGACTTAGAAGTAAAACTTCAGGAAACAGCTTTGGGTATTTGTCGCTATTAAATGAGTTAAGTGAAAACTGAAATTAAGCAGCTGATGGAAATCCAACCTAAAACAAAAAATTCTCAGCAAATGTCTGTGTCAGTATGGTATATAGTCATCTTCTTCACTACACAGACTATCATCTTTAAAAAGAACTGAGGAAAATGGAAGGTCAAATTACTTCCTTGCGTTTTTAATTTAGATGTTATCTTAGTGTAAGCCACAAAAGACAGGACGCAATTCAATTGCCTCATTCATCCCACAGCAGTTGTTACATTCAGCAAAAAGACTTATCTTCAGGGAAGGGTACAGAGAGGCGATATTTCAGAGTGAAGATTCTCCATCTTACAGAAGAAAGCATTATGCATGAAAAATGCATTGGCTGTCTACAACTTTTTCTCATATTACACAAAATCAGCTCTACCCCACACCTGGATCTGGAGCTACCCCATGTCATGAATACACTACACATACCTCAAGACACATTTAAAAGAAAGTCCTTGTTTTGTTCCTGGTGACATTTAAAATAGGCTTTTACCATTCATCACATCAGCCATTTAATAAATAAAGATGATCTAGGACCACGATGTCAACACATCAGCTAAGATCTGAAATCTGCTAAAATGCGTCTACCATCTTTTTTGAGATGCTGCATTGGGAGCCTTGCCAAAGATGACATGTTTGAGGAGTTAGCAATCTTAGGCAACCCGTGTCTGCTCTATTAGGCCTTGTACTTCAGGCTTGAGAAGCCTAGGTGTTAACGGGAGTACCCACTTAGATGTTAACGTGAGTAGCCACTGCAGGGGACCACACAGGAACCTCCATGCTGGCCTGCATTGCGTGCTTGTGGGCGTTACGACGGAGATAACATTCTGACCTGCCAGGAAGTGACATGTGGGTTTGGTTTGGTTGGTTTGGTTTTTTGGGTTTGTTTGGTTGTTTGTTGTTTTTGTTGTTTGGTTTTTTTTTTTTTTTACACAAAATAAAAGGCAACATGAGCGAGCGGTGTGCCCAGGCAGTCAAGAAGGCCAAGAGCATTCTAGCTTGTATCAGAAATAGTGTGGCCAGCAGGACCAGCACCAGATTGTCCCACTGTACTTGGCACTAGTGAGGCCGCACCTTGAATCCTGTGTTCAGTTTTGGACCCCTCACTCCAAGAAGGACATTGAGGCACTGAAGTGTGTCCAGAGAAGGGCAACAAAGCTGGTGAAGTGTCTGGAGAAGAAGTCTTATGAGGAGTGGCTGAGGGACCTAGGGTTGTTTAGTTTGGAGAAGGAGGCTGTGGGGAAACATTATTGCTATTTATAACTACCTGAAGGGAGGTTGTAGAGAGGTGGGTGTTGGTCTCTTCTTCCATGTAACTAGTGACAGGACAAGAGGAAATGGCCTCAAGTTCTTCCAGGGGAGGTTTAGATTGGATATTAGGAAAATTTTCTTTACTGAAAGTGTGGTCAAGCACTAGAACTGGCTGCCCAGGGAAGTGATGAAGTGACCATCCCCACAGATGTTCAAGAACCGCGTGGATGTAGCGCTTCAGGACACGGTTTAGTGGTGTTGGGTTGATGGTTGGACTTTAAGATCTTAGAAGTCTTTTCCAACCTTAATGACTCCGTGATTCTGAGAATTTAAACAAATCGCCATGTTCACCATTTATTTAAGGTGAAATAACACAAAAAGCCCACATCTTTCCCGCTACAATTGCGGTCAATACACTGACTATAGAACTAACCAGTTCCCAGTAAATGCTTTTCCTTCAGTATTTAAGTACTCCACTTATTTCTCTGATTCATTTTATTTGCAGCTATATTGCAGCATTTAATGTTCCATCCCACTGCAATATTTTTCTTCTTATTGGAAGGACAGTAGTCTTCTCCAATGATTTTGCTCAAACACAAAGCAAAACTAGAGGTCACAGTCAGAAATTAGGCACACCTCAAACACAGACTGCAAACTAAGTAAAAATTACCATTGCTTTCACACCCAGCAGAACTAGCATGCAGTGATAACATTAGTACACAACTAGAATTATTTTCAATATTTGGAAAGATGGAAAGTATGTAAATATATCTAAATATACATACATAAAAATACTTGTTCTAAAACATGCCTCATTAGCAAATCTGATCTTCTATATGCCCCAAGATCTTCTCCTGCAGAGTTTTTTCCATCTATGTATATCTTATCTGATTAAGTCTGATTAAGAACCTCCAACAGAAACCATTTGTATACATATCAAATTCAGCATGATTGCAACACAAAGTTTATTATATACAGAAGACAATTGTTTTGCAACTTCTCTTCCATGATCCTTATCAATCCTTATCATCCTTATCATCCTTATCCAATCCAATCAATCCTTATCATCCTTATCAAATACCCTAACTAACTAAGTTTTCCACAACTCTCTTGACATTCAGAAAAGCTTGAGGCTGCAGAGTCAGGTACAATCCAACAGTAAAAAGTACCATAAGAAAACAAAAGCCACTTAGCTACATTTCAAAAGTGGCTATTGGTGAGAGAGCAAATAGCTTCCTTACAGTTACAGACTGGTTCTGCAAGAAACTTAACATTCATGTAAAAATCCTTAGTATGCACTGTGCAGGAAAACCTAGAGCCCAAGAAAGATTTGGTTGCATCTTGAAAGCTCACACATTACAGAACAGTCAACTGCAAAAAGAAACATATGGAAAAGCAACTCTCCCAATTACTGCCTAAGCATTTTTCAAAACTAGGAAGTAGCTAAATGAGCATGGCATGCGCTTTGCTAAATGTGACAAGTCCATCTAAATCAAGAGGAGATGGTGTGTTTGGAGTTTCTTTGCAGCAAATATATAGGGTATGACTATTAGATTTTTCTCATATTAATTCTTACCTGACTAGCTTCCGATCTGCCACAGTCAGAAGACACTTCATGGGGCTCAGAATTATGCACATACCACAAAAAACAGAGTTTTATTCATAATGATGTGATCCTACCCTAGACACAACGTCCCCTCCCACTTCATCCCCTGATATCCGAAGTGTTAACACCTCTCTAGAAATAGATCTACATATCTGTTGATTAACTTACTTTGAAATATCTTTGCTGTCATGTTGCCATGGGAATACGACATTTCCAATAGCCGCCCGGTAACTGTAGACTCCCAGGAGCCCAAGTGCCATGGCAATTTTTGAAACCAGGGAGCATCTTCTTTGAGCCAGAACGAAGATCATAAGTAGGGAGACTGCAGCCAACAAGGAGAGTTCAGATTTATGTTCAGAGCTGGAAAAAAACCCCAAACAGACAAAAAAAACCCTTCAAACCACTGTAATTACTGTTAAACACATTTGACAGAGCCTTAGCTACAGCATTCTACTTCCAAATTAATCACTGCACTGACATCTGTTACGAACTTTCCAAGAGGTATAGTAAAAAAGCCTAGTATTTTTAGAAAAGCTGTTTTATTAACGTGGTTTTCTATTCAAGCATGCATGTTTAAAAGTGTAATTATTGTGTTCTACCATATGCTAGTTACTTTGTTAATTATATAAAAACTAAGCTGTGAATAGCATAATGAAAAAGGGTGTAATGCTTTTTAATTTAGGGTTTTGTTATTTATTGCATTTTTTGAAACAGTACATTTTGCTTATACTAGTGTTCCATTTTCTAGCACAAAGCAGATAAGATTACTGTACGACAGAATTACAACTATTTTCCCTTTTTAAGTAACTGCATGTATATTTTATTTGTTTAATTTTACATGTACAAAACATTAACTAGACAAAATGACCAGAAATACAGTTACATAGTTTAAAACATACACATTAGCACAACAGGATTCCCTTACTCAACTACAGCATGTTGTACCAGATCAATACATACAAGAGATAAAGACACAAAATTTGCATCAAGGCCAAGAACATTATAGATACAGCCTGTTTGTTCCCCTGCATCATAAGTAGGTAACTCTCATTCCAGCATCAAGGGCATTTTATTGAACATGCTGCCAACATAATGTATTTAAATCTGCAGTGATATATTAGCACTGCAAAATGTAATGGGCTACTGTAAAGATCTGCACTCAACCCCTACCATAGCTAGCTATGCAGTTTCAGAAAGACCACTGTAATCCAAGAATTGCTAACCCTTGCCTATTGCAAATATTCCCAGTATCCCAAATAACCTGGAAACACTAATTTTGTTAGATTTACCTTCTGTTAAGAACATCATGTAGAGTGTGAGAGCCAAGCGCTCCATCTTCTGTCTTCCATACTCCAAAATGCCATGCTAAAAGATCACTAACTTCAGCAAACTGACAGTGAGCCTTTGCTGTTATCTGCATTAACTCTGATCACACTTATGAAACTCCAGTTTTATCTTTGATTTAATCAAAATTATAGTGCTTCAAACAGATTTACTTTCTTATTCCCTAGTATATGCTTCATCAGGAGTTTGACCAGTAGGTATTTCAGCTGTTGTGCTTGGAACATCACACAGGAAAGGATATGAGGCAGAAAATTTGTCCTGTTAGTCCTCCCTGCAGGACCCAGTCCAGCACTTCATATAATTTAACAAGACTCCTGAGAGATGCACTGCTCTCTGCAGGCCAATAGAGGAAAGTGAGAGGGATAAAAGCTAGAACACTATGGGAGAGAAAATGTAGTCTTGATGTTTTTTCTCACTATTGTTTTTCCTCTACAGCAGGAGTCAGCAGAAGCAGTAAATGGACTGCAGCAGCAACCTGTAAAGATAGCACATGCACCATCTCTTACGATCAACACATGAAGTACTAATTTAGCAGCCACTGCATCTTACAAATGAACCTCTGTCAAAAACTTCAAAAGCTTTCAAGCCATATTCTCCTTGGCTGCTGATTTTATGAGAGACAAAACACATCAGGGATAAATAAACGCAATATTCATCTTTGGCTCCTGATCTAAACAAGTCAATGCACTTCTGTTAAGAGGCCTATGCAGGTAAATATAACATAGCAACACATCAAAATTAAAAAAAAACCTACCTGTAAGAAGCAATTACTAGTGCTGTATCAAGCAAGACATTCACTAAAAGCTACAATTTCCTATAGTGAACATTTGAAATTATACTGTAGCTCCCCACCTTCCCCCCACCCCCCAAAAAAAATAAAAAAAGAAAACCTTCTCAGAGAAGGCCCAGTGGACAGTAAGGGTATGTTAAAGTCCTGTGAACAGTCACCAACAGTGCATTCTTGACCGCTAGCACAGGGATCTACATCCAACTCATACCCAGGTTTTCTGATAACGGTCCTGTGTGATTTCTGTTTTGGATTTTTTGAACAGTGTAAACTTGTTGCAAAAAAAAACCAAAAAACAACCTACTCCAGTGTCTCTCAGAGTTTGCTTAAGAAACAATAAAAGGATTTATAGCAAGTGAATTCAGGACAGCACAAGTCACCTACAGCTTCCAAGTTTTCCAGGCAAGGCTCTCACAGTTAGGCAACTAGGTACATATTAAATAAGCACATATTTTGAAAGCGGATTATAGTTGCTCAACACAAGGTCCGGCCATTTAGCAACGTTCTATATGATTTTGATAATCTACTCAGAAATACAAGCATGAACGTGCTACTCTGATCCCAGCTGAAATGTAGTGGGCTTTGCCCCAAACTGCAAAGTTTAAAGTGAAGAACCAATAGTTTCCTGAGAGAGAACAGGGGGAGGTGGGAAGTAAAAAAAAAGAGAGTTTCAGCTTTTGTTCTTACTGTAAGAGCTTGTGGTCTACACTTTCACACTTCTGGTATCAGAATGAAGACTGAATGCATTTCCTTCCACTGCTATGACCTCACCTCACTACTGCAAATACAAGTACAGTGAAAGGATCTATAAATGTGCACGTAATTTATGTTTTATGTAGATAAAGCCTTTTTTGTTTCATTTCATTCTACTATGTACCATAGAATCCACAGGAGTCACCTGGTATGCTAGCTTTGGGGAGGAGGGCATTTAGGGACAGTTAAGTACATTATTAAAATAAAATATTATCATCTTCCCATTGCTGCTGCTTCTCATCACTGCTCTTCAAGATACCACTGTCATTGACAGCTTCAGCCCTTTCACAGTGGGCCATGTAGCAGCTCTTACCAAGATTAACAGCCAAAAGCAGCTAACTGAATACCAGCTAATTAAAAAAAAAAAACCACCTGATTTCCAGGCAAACTTAGGGACTGCATGTTCTCTTCTGCTTCACTACTCTCTGATTTTCTTTTGCCCATTTTCCCACCAAAGTTTTGTTTTTTTTCCTTTGTAGCAGGTTTCATAGAGTCTCTCTGCAAATAACAAATAGCAAAGAATATTTTCCTTATTTTTTCACTGTTGAACACATCTCTAATAGCCAAATTCAACACACTATATGCAGATTGATTTTCTGTGTTTTGCTGCTTACATTTTTCCATGCACAAACCTGCACAATAGTCTTGTCTCAAATGCTGAGCCCCTTAAGCACTGATGTCTAAAAGGTCAATAAAGTGAAAAAAAAGGTAGTTTGTACATTAGTTTATCTTCAAGACAAAATAGAAGGCTGGTGGAAAAAGCCTGAGCAGCATTAACTCAAACTAACAGAGAACACGACCGAAGTAAGGTTCTAATTTCTTATTACTAAAAAATGTGCCATTAAGACATAACTATGCAAATCAAACACATACTAAAAATAGAATAACAATCAATCTTATAGACTAGCAATGCATTTTGGGAGGAGGAATAAGTACTTTATGCAATTCAGCTTATAAACAACTTTTAATTTATACTATAAGGAAAACACATCATCTCAATCCTGATCAAAACACTAGGGAAACAGATATCTCTACCACCCTGTTCTCTTGTGAAGAAGGAGCAACAAAGATGTTAAAACCTCCAACCAAAGAAAATGCAAGCATGCTTGCCAAATAGGAATTCACAGATAATCTACGAGACACAGGATATATAAAGATTTAGTCAAAGTAGTTATTGACTGATCTTTCTGGTGCTTGTCCTGTGAACCATTTCAGACTCAAGAACCCACCTACATCCCACCACCCAAGTTCAAAAACTGTGCACTTCAAATTCTGCTACTAGGGCAATTTAATCCTATAAAGCAACTGAAGTATATGTCAGCATGGCAACATATACTGTATTTTCCTGTTAGGTTAAAAACCACTCCATTGATTTAAGCAAGTATGCAGCTTCCCAGCAGCCCAAGCCAACCTGTGGCAGTGCTGTCAGGGTTCTGCTCTTCTGCCTGCTCCCTAAACATGGCAGAAGCAGTTCCCCATTGAAATGGGGAAGGCAGAACTGTGGCAGTTCCAATAACACATTGTCTTAGCATGCCATGGCATGGTACTCTGGACTATTCCACAATCTTCTAAAAGCTCCGAAGAGTAGAACTTTGTGAATCACTACTTCTTTCTCAGTAAGATTCGAAAGGCACGTGGATTTTTGTAAAGAATGCTTGATGATGGCAGAAAGAAAAAACTCGTTATGTCTGCAGCACTTCAAAAGATGCAAATACTTCCACATTTTGCTTCTACAGGAATTTCAACAACAGCAGTGCTGGCGTGCACACTCTTCTCTTCCTCCATTACTGCTACTAAGCAAGCCCATTTGTCTGCGAAGCTGGATGGTAAATCAGAGTGGGAAGTGATCCATCTGAAAGCCAAAAATTTTCTACCCTGTCTTGGGTTATTTTTCCAGCCACATATTTTCAATGATTTAGTTCACCATACTAACAAAGCAACAGCTGTGCTGGTAAAATACAGGGCTAGTGAGAGGAGAAGCAAGACAGTAGGTACCTTGCCTTGTAAGGCAAGAGGTCCTTTAACACACCTTTATAGCCAAACAAGCAGCCATAGCCTAAGACTACAGCTGTAAGACCTTTTCTCTTCTACTTACTTCAAGACCCAAGAAAATACTCAATATGAGGCTATAATTTGGTGGGAAAGCACAGGGAATGACTCACCTGTAAAATTCTGAAGTTTTGGGTTTGATATCTAGCTGCTGTACTTCAGCCTCACTGAAGGAGGAGGCAGACAGCTTTAATGGCAGGGTTGTGTTGGCTTTATGAAGGGGAAGTAATAATCGACCTGACAGACTTCTGTGATGAGATGACGAGATCAGCGGAAGAGCTGAGTGCAGGGAATGTTGTTTATCTCTGCTTTAACAAGGTTTTTAACACCAACTCCCATAACATCCTCACAGTCACTAGCGATCAGCACCACGGCTTGGCACTGGGGCCGATACGGTTTGCCATCTTCATTAATGACTTGGATGATGGGATACAGTGCTCGCTCAGCAAGCCTGCACACAGTACAGAACTGGGAGAAGTAGATGGGTCTGCTGCCACTCAGAGGCAACTCAACAGGCTGGGGAAATGGACCAACAGGAACTTTATGAAGTTCAACAAGGGGAAGAAGCAAGTCCTGCACCTTAGAACAAACAGCTACACACATCGGGACAGACTGCGGGTTGAGCATCTTTTCAGAGATGGCTCTGAAGGTCCTGGTGGACACACGAGTTGATCGTCAGTCAGCACTGTGCTCCTGCAGCAAAGACAACCAACAGCATTTAAGGCCGCATTATGAAAAACATTACCAGAAGGTTGAAGAATGTGTTTCTTGCCCGGTGCTCAGCCCGGGTTACCCAGTACAAAGAAAGATGTGGACATACTGGAACAAGTGCAGTGAAGAACTGGGAAACGATGATGGGACTGGAGCATCTGTCATATAAGGAGAGGCTCAAAGCACTGGGACTATTTAGCCTCAAGAAGGTAAGGCTCACTATGGATCTTACCAGCCTTATTGGAGGTGAAAGGTATTAAAAAAGATGAAGCTATATTATTCTCAGTGGTGTCCACCAACAGGACAAGAGGCAATAGACACAAGTTAAAATAAGGAAATTCTGTTAAAACAGAAGGAAATTTTAGGGAGGTGAAAACAGGTTGCCAAGAATAGTTGTGGAGTTTCAGTGCTCGAAGATATTAAAGACTCTGCTGGACAAGGATCTGAGCAATTTAGTTACAGATCACACTGCTCTGAGGAGCAGGATTGAAGCAAATAGTTTCCAGAGGCACCCTCCAACCTCAGCCATCCTGTGATACTGTTGTTTCCAAAGACGGACAGGAATTCTGCAAAAAGGCTGATTCCAAATCACAGGAGAAAAGAATGAAACACAAAAATAGCCTCTTTCCTCCCTTCTTCCCCCTCCCTCCCCAGTATAAAAAACAGACTAAGGCAGAACAGGTGTTAACTACCTTGATTTACCTGAGTGGGTTGCTTGGAAGGTCCTGACAGGCAATAGTGTTAGATTATATGTTACAGGATTTCCCAGCTCTTGTTATAAATCAGGAAGCCCTAGAAGCATCTGCTCTGGATGCAGACTATGTTCTACCAGTGCTATCTCCCCAAGTCCCCACAGCCCAAGGCAGTAAAAAGGTTTTGCTGCTCTATAGGCATACCTAGCACCAGGATATCGGAGGTGGGAGCACACTCAACTGAGACAGGATCTTTGAAAGTTAAGTCCAGGCATGCACACACAATTTTTAGAAGGCTGGTAATATTTCCAAGTGTGAGTAAACATTTCTGGGGGACACATCTCTGAAACAAATGCAATTTGTCAGCTGCAAGAATATCAACCCCTTGTTTCATGGCACTGTGGCACTAGTACACTTCAAAGAAAAGGACTGACAGTCTGAAGAAGACATGTGGTTCAGGAAGTTATTGGACAAACAAATCTTCGGAAGATGCTCAGGATTAATTATAAAAATCCTCCCACTTGTACAAATCACACCTAATCTTTCTCAGACACTGGCTTAGCTTATAATGGAGGAGTGGACTTAATGCTGGGAATATAACATTCCCTCCTGAATCCCTCACCTTATCTTAAAAGGAGGAATACACGGTGAAAGCTTTGGTATAGAACAACTGCTATAATGCGATAAACTCCCTTATAACTTACATTTTTCAGCACTCATGCCTGTCTGCCTGTCACAGCAATTAGCATTTTATCTGTGAGGCTGCCAATAAGTAACAAGTCCCATATTAGTTCGTTTGCTCATGTCACTATTAATGAATGATGAATGACATTTCATCCATGTGTTGTAAGATACTGGCAAGAAATCTCTTTATTTTACACAGCACCACCTCCACGTCTGCTGTCTACAAAACCTTGACTAGTCAGTCACAATGTATTGCTTCTCCATCCATGAGCTGAAGTACAGAAGACAGTTCAAATATCAAGTCCCTTTTATCACTGAGTAATGGCTGCAGTTCTTCACAATGCTAAAAGGTAGTACAAAAATAAGTGCTTCTGTGTAATTCAAGTTGTAAAAAATCCCCTTTCTTGTTTATCATACTACACTTGAAAAATTACTTCAGTTTTCCATCCACATGTTAAATGTCAGTGACAGACAAGCAAGAATTCCATGCGCAGCATATTCCACTGCAACTTCATAAAGTTCAGAATTGAGCAGAACCTTTTGCCTTAATTTCAAGGGTTTAATTCAATTGTGATTTTTAATTTCCCAAACCAGACACTGTTGACTTTCACATGGAAAACATTTACTTTTTGATTCTGCTAAACCTATTGCGTATAATTGGCATTAATCAGATAAGTCATGGTGCAGGGCAAAAATTATAAACTATTGACAGTACACAAGGAATTACTCCCACATGAAATAGCAGTGAAAAATTCCTTATGTTGCTTCACTGTTTAACCACTTTGAATGTTTACAGCACTTTCTAAATAGAGACTGTATAGAAATGTATACACATTTCACCAAACACAACATGCATCAATGTTTAAGTAAGACAGAAAGCATGAGAAGAAATCTGACACCCACCTGGTCAGCCAGTGACCAAAGTCTGGCCGATGAGCCCACTGGATGCCCGTCTGATTCAAGGATCGAAGTAGCCGACAGCAAATAAGGATGATCCATGGACTTGTTAAGCTTATCCACTTATCTGCTCCTTTTATGAATTCAGGTGAAGAGGTGGCCTTGCCCAATTTTGAATTACCTACTGCTGGAATGTCTATATTCTTGCACTCAGAGGCTTCTCCAACACTATCAAAATTCTGTTTCACAGTGGTGCTATGTCGAGGGTCACTTTCTCTCAGAAGAAAATTATTTCTACAGAGTTCCTGACACAGCACCAAACAAAGCGTATTAATAAGAAAATACCAGGTTTGATGTTCTTCTTCTATAAAACTGCTTGACCCCAAACTCAAAACATGACCAATCGTTCCAGCCAGAATCAGCACATTGATTTCTGACCAGCTGGAACTAGACATGACCGGATTCTGCAAACAAAGAAACAAAAAGATATATCAGTGGTGAATGTGTATAAAAATGTCACTTGTTTAAGCATTCATAGTGTGCTTACAGCAATTTCCTCTAAGAGAACAGTGAGACAAGTTACTTCTACCTTGACAAATCTTAAAAATTTATAAAACAATAATTTTAGTGTAGCCTATTTAGCTAGCATTGCAACATAATCATACTGTTTAAAATTACACTGTGTTTTAAGGGAAAAAACCTCTCTATGAATAATCATTACAACTGTACAGATTAAGATTCCCTACTACCCTGTGACAGAAGGTTTGAAACAAGCTCTCTACCCGCTGCACATTCATAGAAGTAAAAATAGAAATCCTGCAAAAATCAAACTTGAGACACAGACAACATGTAATTTTCTAATAGTTTAAACCTGTGCTACCCTCAACTTAGTACAGTGACAGCCTTCACTACATAAGTAACAAAAGTAACCTGCAGACAGTCTGATGGCACTCCTTAACCTTGCTTAGCTTGAAATGTGTCTTTCATCTTACAATCTACTTTAAATCTTACCCTTATTTATTTACTTCACATGCTGTGTTATCTGAAAGCATAATATTCTTTGTCTAATTACTTCATTAGTTGGATTTCCTGTTCACAGCAGCTACTCGGAACTGCCTCATCATCACTGCCCTCAGTGATACGGCTAAAAAGAGAATGTAAGGGCATGTGGAAGGTCAGAGCCTTCAGTTCATCGACATTACCAGGTAAAGGACTTTTTCAGCTCACAGTGCATATGAAGTAACAGCAAAAGCCATAGAAAGACCACAGAGAGACACAAACCTTGTAAGTAAGCACTAAGGGAGATAATATAGGTGACCAAAATTCTTCAGCCATTAGTTGTCAGGCCATTAAGAAACCACAGGCACAGCCCTGAAGAGTGTCAGCCTGGACTTCGTAAGAGATACAAGGGGACTGACAGAACACAAGTATTGGGGATATCTGATGGCGCTTGTGGATCTATGCAAATTCATTAAGCAATGCTTCAGGAAAGTGTCAAAGGTGGGGGAGAAAGGTGGTGAGGAACAGGCTGGAGGCAGGGGGCACAGCGAGAGGAGGAGGGATAACGGGGTCAGAGCCATGTGTGAGCAGGCACTGGTCAGTACACTTCTCTGACTGAGCTCCTGTGCTTCATCGCTGGGGTCCATCCTGTCTTATTTAACCCTCTTGTAACAATCTTTCTGTGCACCTCCACTCTCTGTCCCACCTGTGGGTGCTGCAGGGTCTCACTGCAAGTAACTGGGGAAAAGCTTGCATGGTAGCAACTTGAGACCAGAGCAAGTAAAAGCAAACACCAGCAACTTAAGTGGGACATGGTGCATGAGGCTCCATGTGCCAGAGACCGAAGTGGGGACCACTGGCCACCAGAACTGTGTGCCTGAGGTGCCAGCAACTGGAGGGATCAGAGTGCAAGAAAGGTCAGGGTCAGCAATAGGAACATGACCATGGATCACCAAGGTTGTAAGTAGAGAGCCCAGATCGCACACCGACTTGTGAAAGGTCGCAAGGCCACTGAATAGAGGAACCTCGGTCTGTTTAACTTCTCCTCAAAGTCTGGGCCAGAGGTGGGGACAGAAGCCCAGGCTGGGCATGCACAGCTGGGCTCCAGCAGCAAGACAGGACAAATGCCTCTGGAACCACCAAAGCCAGCAGGTGCTTCCCAATGTACCTTAACAAATTGGGTTACACACCTGTGAAGCATTTTGGCAAAGACACTGTCGAAAATCCTCCTCCACCGTTTTATTTGTTCATTAATTTTTCCTCTATTAGAGAATATCAAAGAGTATCTCTTAAACTGGTATTTGAAACACCTGATAAACAACAACTTAAAAGCCAAATCAAAACTACTGCATGCCAGTTTTACTTCAAAACAAAGATCTCTGACGCAGGATCTACTTCCACGTTAATTTCTTTAACTGCATACTTCAACCACATCACCCTCCTATACTTGACCTTATGAACAAACTTAAAAAAAACACCTTCAATATTCATACAAATAAATCTCACAGAGAACGTACTCACATTAAAAGATGCACAGTGTGCTACGATTCCTGAACTACATCATTTGCTAGAAGAATATAGAAACTCATTAATCTTACAGCAGGTAACGAGGAAGTGAGTGTAGAAAATACAAATATCCCTGAGCATCTTCAATGCAAGTCTCACTTACTTACTGACAGCAGTGTGTGCATTTTTGTTCAGTAAGCAAGACCGTTTAGCATGGAGAGGACAACAAACACACTTGATGCAGAAAACTAGTCAACATTATCTAGAATTTTGCTCTGAGGAAAACAACTCTTGCAAAATCAAGATTTTATAAGATGCATTTAAAGAATGCCGGAGATAGTTATACCTATTTACATCACCTCCATTTCTTGTGTTGTTAATGAAATCTATTACACCAAAGTCACTTCACTTAAAAAAAAACCACAAACAAAACCAAAACCAACAAAAAAAATCCCCATGAGGTTACAAACAACAGTAACGGGTGCAAAAAACACTAAAAATCTAGCACAAAACCAGCCATAATCTAAAAAAACCTGCCCAGGCCCAGTCTAAATTTACTAGCATTTGAAATTTCCTTGGTGCTCTAAAGACCACTCCTTTTTGTTTATTATTCTGCTCCAGAAATCAGAAACCATAAGCTCCATTCTAGAACAAAAAGATCAAGGTAGAGATGTAGTCCATGCAGACACCAAAGACCATGAAATTCACAAAGCTGAGACAAGAACAGTACATGACTAAGCTACAGAAAGTTTAAACTCCAATGATTCCCTCATGCGTACCTTAAAGATCTTGGCTAACTAAATAATGAGCAAGCAAGTAAGTACCATCTGCTTGTACAGACAAAGGAATCTGAGATCGTCAACAAATGAGAATGAACCAGTCTTCAATATAATTCATTTGCCTTCTTTAGAAGACATAACATAAAATCTATTTAAGGATTGCTCTCTTGTGCCTGGTTGCTGTCAACACTGATAGGAAAACTGCAGTCATGTATTATCAGGGAGGAACATGCAAAAGCCTCATGAAAATGAGAGCCCGAGTGTGAAATATACCAGTGTCAGAAATCCGTATTTCTTGCCTGACTCCCACAACTCCAGTGTAAAAGAGAAAATAAAAAAATCACTCCTGTATTCACATAAAAGGGTTAAAGTCCAATGGCATTTACTGATAAACCACATTTCAGACCAGAGTTAGTCACGACAAAAAATGAAAAATTATCCTGCAAATTATAATCTCCTGAGTCTTTATGATCTAAGAAATACTGAAAATAGCTTCATCAGGTTTTTCTCAATTTACTGGTAATCCCTCACATATGAATTGTGCCTTAATTCAATGTCATCATTACAGTTTTTTAGACATCCTGACCCTTGATTACTTAAGTTGTACTTAAGTTTTTAGATCTGGTTTACAAGCACAGAAATACAGATCCTATTCTGATATTCACAGCTGTATTTCTAGCTGCTGAATACCTGCAACCCTCAGGAACTCAGCAGGCACTGTGAATATTAACTCATATGATTCAATATTTTGGCAAACAATGCAGAGTCTTTGGTTTAGAAATGTATAAATGTCAGGTTTTCAATTTAAGGCTATAATCTGCCTAACCAAGATAGCCTTTAACATTTGATGTATCAGCATTAGTAATTAAGACAGAAACCGACCTCTTAGCCCTATCTTCGAACATACCTTGCTAGCTTGCAGCAGTGCCAGTACATAAACAATGGAATATACGCATCTCCACCCATGAAAGTTATATTTTCTTAACTTTGAAATAAAACCTCCTGTAATCTATCTTCTGGATCCAATTCCAGCTATGTGGCTTCTGCACGGTTAAGAGTGAAGCTCTTTTTCACAAAAATTAAGATAAAATAAAATTCAGGTATTTCACACCATCCATAGTTAATGCCTGAGGAATTTTAAAATCACTTTTCAAATGATGAACATTTTATTTTTCATGTTCTTCATCATCCCAAAATTAAATACTTTTTATTCTGTCCCTTTCTCATATTTGAGCTCTCTGCATCCAGTCTTGATTTCCAATGATGATAACTTTCTTACGACAGAATACTATAGACCACACTTGCTCCTACATTTTCACAGCATTTTGGGATTACTTTTGAAAGCTACCTAGTAAAGGCAGCATACAATCACCTTTTATTTTTTTATCCAAGGCAAAAAAAATTAAAAGAAAAAGAATTAGGTACAATTGCATAAAAATGTTTTATCATTCAACTCAAAGAATATCATACAACAGAGGGCATTTTGAAACAGAGTGACATTTTCTATATGTAATGAAGACGCTGTTATTCTGCACAATGAAAATTCTAAGAAGCTGTATTTGACAGGGTTTAACTTCTGCGTTCTATTTTGAAAAAAACTATTGTTTTTTATTTCTACCAGAAATAGCAAAAAAATACAACTAGTAGTAGTAAAGACTGTGTTTAAGTCAACTACCAAGCAATTACGAGTGAAGCTATGAACAAGCAGCTAATTTTTTTTATAATTTTCTGGAATTCATAAGAGCTGCAGAACTATTTAAAGCCTTAAGTGTCATTAAAAGAAGGGGCTGCTGCTGCTAGAAACACAGTAATCAGAACCCATAAATAACAGTCAGGAAGCAGATGCTAACACTGTCTGCACTGGTCTTCAGAAAATTCATGAACTTGGTAATCAGTTTCTATATTCAGCCACAGTGGGAAAAAAAAGCATTACAAATGAGAACCACTTCAGAGAAATCTTTAAATGTGAACGGAAACAATTTGAAGGAAAAAAGCTCTGAAGCCATTAGCAGGAGAGCTTATCTTAATTACTTCTAAAATACCTACATTTTATCATATAGCAGGAGCTGAGAAAAGACTCTCAGCTTTTTTAACTGGCAAGACCCTGATACAGAGTTCCACTCCTGCCGTCAGAAAATCGGGGCTTCAGAGCTCTTTCAGAAGTGGTGCCCATATGCAGATTCAGACTGTGAAGGACACACACATCACAGACACTTGGATTCAGAGATATTTTAGCGTAAGTCATACTCCTAACTCACATAGGAGGCCCTTCAAGACCAGCACACACCATATACAGACACCCTGTTTCACCCCAAAGTCTATGCATTCTATAAAAGGAGATAGAAGGTGGGACATGAATGTTTGTGAATTACAGTGTGTGTGTCTCAGTCACCAGTAAAGAACTTCCCACATCCACACTGCAAGCAACAGCAGATCATCCACTGCTCCTTTCACATTCTCCAGGCTCTGTCTTTGTATAAGCAACCACCTGCAAAAAAAACCCCACCGTATCACTCTGCAGTAGAATGGTAAAAATCAAATCCAGGTCACTGCTTTGATACATGTTTGGAATGGAGGGATTTACAAACTAAACCTACAAAATATTTCCAGTTTGCTTTAGAACTTGAATAGGGACAACAAAGCCTATCTGACTGATGAGATGTGATATATTATCCATCAATCCAGTCACCTATGGAATAAGATTGAAGATGGAATGACAAAAGTGGATTTCTACGGGTCTGGATACAAAGTCACATCTGCCTCAACCAGAATTACTATTGCCTACACTTGGTAAGACATACATCAGCTTCCCACATTTTCAAATACCTCCTGGGGGAAATTTGATCTCAGACAGACCTGGGATGGAGAATGTAGTATTACTTTTTATTTCTATCTGCCCCAGCCTTGGAAAAACAAAACATACACACAAACTTTCTGGACAACATTGCTGAAAACCACCTCATTCATGCATTATCAACAGGAAGCAGCTGATCTGATCGTGATGTCCCAGCTAGATAAAACTTCAGAAAACACATACGCACCGATTTCAGATATTTCCCCACCCTTTTACATCCAACAGCAAATGCCTGCATTGAGAACTGTTCCATTACAGCCAAATGCAGGTATTTTCAAAGGTGATGTAAAAATAAGCATTTTCAAGTCCAAGAGACACAAACTGATCACTGTCCTGAAATGACAGAAGCGTTAGAGCCAGTGACACTAAATTTCACTTGTGATTACAAGGGGTTTTTTTCTGCTTCTGGAATTCCAGATGGTCTCATAACTTGTACCAAAGAGGAAAAGGAGACAAGCCACTGAAACATCCTTCTCCAAGCAACAGAGGATTGAATCTAAAGCCCCTACATCAACCAGCTCCTACTGCTCATATGCAGAATGTGGGGAGCTGGAGGCAAAGATACAGAACTGGATACAGTATCCTGGATATAATTTCTAATCATTTGTCTCTGTTTGTCCTCAAAAGCAGATATACAAAGTAGAGGTGGGGAAGGAAGAAAACTGGAATAGAACAGGGGGATAAAGACTTCTCACACATACTCCTGTTCATGCTACCTAGGCATAACTGACTAGGTGGAATAATCAGAAATGGTCAACAGATTAAGGGTATGGAAATGGCAATTCCTCATCTAAAGTTCCTCAGAAAGGGTAATTAAAAGTGGAACAGCATCAGTTATATGCGTACTTCTTTTTATGTGTTCCTTGAGGAATTATTTGCCTCCGTCAGGGAGCTAGCGATTAATTCCTTTCATAAGAAAAGTCTTTCCACCCAACACAAGTTTTGAATACCAGGAGATATTTTGCAATTGCTGCTGTGATCACTGACAAAGCAGCTGCATTAGCAACTTACAAGCCATCTGCAGGAAGCTGTTCACACCAGCAGCTGTCTCTCACCAACAAGGATGAAAGCATGCCAAGAACAGTTGAATTAAACCTAAAACTCAGGCCAAACTAGAAAAGAAGAACTCATACCTGTCAACCAATACTTCGTAACAGCCTATTCTAAATACAGTAATAGCCAAGGAAAAGCAGCATCTTCCCAGATTACAGTCTTTGATCTACTAGGAAAGCACTTTTCCTGGCTCATCTAAGGTTACTTTAAAGCTACCACAGTAGTGGGTGTCACAGGGAAGTAACTCATCTCAAGCCACATAACAAATACTTCTGGTCACAGCAATTCTGGTCTGAATTGCTTTGAGACTATCAACCTGGAAGAGAAAGCTGTAACCAGTTGTCATTGCTCTCAGCTCTACTGAAGTGGAACATCTGCACATTTTATGCAGGTCGAAACAATCATCATTTTTATGTTCCTACTTTTTGCTAGAATTAGAAAAACTGGTAATAATTAAGATGAAAAATGAGGGGAAAAAGAGAGAGAGGGCAGAGAGAGAGGGCAGAGAGAGAGGGCAGAGAGAGAGGGGAGAGAGAGAGGGGAGAGAGAGAGGGGAGAGAGAGAGGGGAGAGAAAACAGCTGTCTTCAGGAAACAAGAGTATTACTTTCATTGCAAGACTTCTCTCAGAAAAACAGCATTTCCAAGAAGGAGTAACAAAAATTCATAAATTACAGAAACAAAACAGAGAGAGAGGGCAGAGAGAGAGGGCAGAGAGAGAGGGCAGAGAGAGAGGGGAGAGAGAGAGGGGAGAGAGAGAGGGGAGAGAGAGAGGGGAGAGAAAACAGCTGTCTTCAGGAAACAAGAGTATTACTTTCATTGCAAGACTTCTCTCAGAAAAACAGCATTTCCAAGAAGGAGTAACAAAAATTCATAAATTACAGAAACAAAATTATAACCGATATTGTTTGAATAATATAAATCAGCAATCTTATTTATAAAGATTTGATTTTATAATTAAAATCAGGAATTACAGCATATAGCTGCACAGATTGCAATATTACTCTCCATTCAGGAGTAGTGAATTTTCTGAATTTTATTAAATATAATAAAATAAATGTTTGTCTAAGCCAGAAAGTTTGCTTTCCAGCTTGAAAGAATGTCATCATATGATTAAAGCAATGTACAGTCACACACTGAAAATTATCACACTGAAACCCCAAACATGATTCAAAGAACCCGAGATTGACAAAGTATCGTACTGCACAGAGGCTGCACCATTGAATAGACCACTATGAGCATTAAAATTGCTGAATTTCAGAGACCTTTGAAAGATGCAACTAACAAGCATCAGAAAAAACAGCTAGAAGTTGATTTTATGGGTTGATTTTAAGACTAAATTTCACAATGAAAGAAGAGTAAGACACTGCACATTCTATTTCCTTGGAATTAACTGAATTCTATTCAACACAACAATATTCAAAACAACAAAAATGAACAAGTACTTTACAGAAGGTAACTACTCACAGAACTGAAATATTTCTGAGCATTCCAAAGATGGCAACAAATTCAATTTTTTAAATTTAAAAAACTTTTAAAATTTAACTTAAAAAGTAGAAGAGACAGATTATTTTTTCTTCCTCTGTTACAGTTTCAAAACTATTTTTTAAAAAAGCATTAAGGATACCAATATAAGAAAGGGTACTGGCAAAGAGCTTTCTTATTAGTCTTTGAGCATTAACGTCTGTGGTATTTGGGAAAGGACACAACATCAACAGTGCATGTTGTTGCAAAATATCATACATCTTTTTTTAACTGCAATTGTGAAATATCAATGCGTAACAGCATAAAATTAGTGCATGGCAAAACTGTTTCTAATCTCATAAAATCAAATGCAAAACAAGTTACACTAATTAGAACATTTCTTAAGGTAATGTGAAAATAAGCACTTCTGTGATCTTCATTATAGCAACTGGTATCATGCCACAGTGAATGCACCACGTTCCAATTACAATTTTAAATTACTCAAATTACATTACAAATAACAATTTAAGTACACACAGAGAAGACTTCTATAAAACTTTATCTGAAAGAACACCATAAAGAGCGAAGCATTTTGAACCGTAATTAACACATGCTCTTACCTTGAGTGGAAGTCTGGAATTCTCGAAGATCTTTGCAATGGCAGACAAAATACCACACATGAGTGCAGAAATCAGCATCATCACTGCAACTGCTGTTAACCAGGACATACTGCAGAAATAGCATAAACTTTCTGCTGATGTGCATACAATGACGTGAACTGCACAGAGCATCAGACACATCAAGTAAAACAGCAGAGAGAATAGTGGAGGGGAGAGGGGCACTTCAAATTCTGCCCGGCTGCTCAGGGCTTTTGGAATGCTAAGCAAAAGCAGCAGCAGAACCTAGAAAGAAAACAGATAATTAATATTTAAAGAATTGGGGTCAGCTAAAACATACAGTGAGAATTCATACTAAAAAATCATACTGTTGTCATCCATGTAACTTGCTAGTATATATACTTCACAAAAAACCCTCAAAACTGTGAGGAATACTGCTGGATTTTTTAACCCCAGTACGATATTACTATATAAATGGGAGAAGTAAAGATTGTGTTTGCATTTTTTAAGGGTTTGGACACACGTTACCAAAATTTAATAAATTCCCATGTGTCTCTTCATCTTTGCTAACTGATCACATGCATGATCTTCATTCCCTGCAAAGGTAAGAGTTTTAACTCTCAATATGAATATAGCTCCTTAGCAAGCAAATTTGATCCATTATTTGACACCTGTAAATGCCTAAAGTTACAAACTGACTGTGTCAAAGGCCATTTATTTCACAGCATGTAAGATACACAGAGATCCCGCTAAGTTAAGCGGTTTCCCAGACAAAGTTCTACTATCATGCAACTGTATGCTGCATTTCAAGCTTATGCATTCTCATGGTATTAGGGTTTTTTTGCACCTCTTCTCTTAATTTGATTTATTGATTTTACTTTCTAACCTGCACATAAATGAGGCAGAATTGCAAGTTTCCTCTCAACTAACTATAACAGTGGAGATGAATAATATCATTAATAATTTCTGCTACCCCTGTACAAACCGTTACAAATAAAGGGAAAATCAGCCACATGCTGAAATGCTTTGCAAGGGGCACAGATGGAGCTAGGACTAGACTGAGCTCAATCAGCTTGTGCTAAGGGTGAGATTAAATCAAATCAAGACAAAAACAACTATATCGGACCACTGTCAACCTGTAATCTTTCACTGTCACTTATGAAGTCTTCTGCCTAAAATCCTTCCCACAGTACAGTGAGGTATAGTAAAGTAGACCCAAAAAAGCCAATGCATTGCAGCAGCCTTCCGCCTTCTTCATATTCTACTTCACACAGTTCACTTGATAGTAAAAATACAAGGTTTCACAGTATCAAACTGGCTTAGGTCTTATCTTTTAACTCAGCACATATACTTAAAACAAAGACAGCACTCATGATAGGAAGATGCTTGGATTGCAGTTACCTACAAATTTAAATTTAGCTCTTTTGAGCAAATGTACTCTTATCAATTCATGTCTCAGAGGTATTCTCCTCCTCTGAAATACAGGAAAAATGGCATTTATAGCATGGTGCAGTTTGAAGTCACCTGTGAGATTTCTTACCCTTATTTATTCAGTGATGGTAGAAAATACATATCTAGAAAAAATATTTTGGAAATCGAGGCATTTTCTTGGGCACTGCACTGGAGAAAATAAAAAATCTCCAACAGTTTTGCACTGAGTCCTACAGCAATGCTGAGGAAGCTCTTGTCAACCAAAATTTTCATGGCTAGTAGCTGCATGTCTCTTTTGATGAAGGCTCATTGAGCAAAGATACCTGAGATCTGTTTTGTAGAAACAGTAAGCACCTACAACTGCATTCCAGAAAAAAAAAATAATCCAATGTTTCAGGCCCAAATTAACTGTAAAGAGCTTGAATGCATAGGCTCCCAAAACAACAGAACAAAAAATAAATATAAGCACTTCAGCATTGCGCTGAGCTTTGTACAGCTCCAGATTTGCCATCTGTAGAGCAGGAATAGAACCCACCAACTCATCTCCCAAAGGCACTGTGGAACTAACTCCTGTAAGTGGTCTGCAGTGATAAACCCCACTGAGCAGTCTATCAGAAAGCTATTTCAGATGCGTTTTGTACACAGAGAACAGTGCATATGAGACAAGGCACTGACCCCTGTCAAATAAGGAGACTCAAATACTAAACAGCTGATCAGGCACTGAGTATCCATTCCAGGTGCTGAACAGGGCCAGAGCTACAGCAATTACAGAGTCTTGCATAGCATCTCACACACCCAAAGACTGAATTAAGCTTGCAGTACGTATTCCCATCCTAGGGAACAATGCTTATTCTTACAAAAGTTGACACTTGTGCCATCTAAAAGGTCAGCACAAGCTTCTGTACACAAAGCTTCTGCGTTCAGGCACAGTAGCCCTTCTGTGTAGCTCTCAAAGCATCACCACAGAGGGCATTACTAGCATAGAAGATTTGCCCAAAAATACCAATTGCAGAGAATAACTTAAAATTCCAGACATGGGATATCTTATCATTACTCCCACATGAGATATGAAGCGACAACACAGTACCTTACAGCAATTATTTATTTCAGGGCTCTACAGCTATCAGTGCAAATAACAATTCTTGGAATCACGAAAATTGCCCACACAAGATATTGCCTGTTCTGAAGAGCTATGCTGACCATTAGACAAAGAGGAACAGGAAGGAATCTACATGCCAGACTTTTTTTTTTTTTGTTTTTTTTAATGCAGTAAGGCTACTCAAAAAGTGGAAGGCTAACTAATATGGGAGTAATTTAAGTTGTAATACTTCTGCATATTTACTGCAACTAGTTACACCAAAACATAAGTAACTTATATCAAAAGCGCTCTTGAATAATTGTAAAGGCTAAGTTATACTTTAAAAAGAATTCAAGCAGAAAGTTAGCCAACTCTAAGAATTCATGCTCAGTAATTGTAAAGACCAATAAGAGTATACATTAAGTAGTCAAAGCCCAGAAACATTTATGTCCATGCACTTAGCTTTTTCAAAGGAAATTTTATTTTTGTACCTCCATAACGATCACAGTTCCCACCATCATGGAATACATGTCGTATTGTGCCACTTGTTTGCTTAGTGAAGAACTCAGAGTTTTCAGGGCCTCCAAATATTGCTTCAGGACCTTTTTGCCAATATTTAAGAGTATTTCTGAATTATTTCCCTCTAAATACAGTTTGATCCAATTACCATGGGACTTTTCTGCTATCTTGAAATGCTCATATCCAGGATCTAAGGAGGGAAGGAAGAAAAAAGAAAAAGGAGGTAAGAGGATCCATGAACAAAGGAGGATTAATTAAGACATGTGATCACATTTTTACATTTGCTTGTATAGAATAAAAAAAATGCTGTGGGGGTTGAAATTTTTTCACACCTAGAAAGTTATATTATCTTCCTGCAGCAAGATCATAATGAGGCAGTTACTCAGAATAAAGGCAATTAAACCCTAACCTGATAAAAGGTCAAGACCTCTAGAAGTTACAAATGTATCAAAACATCCATTTACTCTTACAAAAGGTTTCCAGGACAAACTTACTCAAATGCTTTAAATCCTGAAAAAAGTCATGTTTTCCACTGGAGTCACTCATTATCCAGGCCATTTGTACAAGCCAAGTGGGAAATGATCAAACAGCTGACCTTTGGAGGAAACATCAAAGGACACACGCACCATACTAGGAACCTTGATTTCACCACAAAGCTAATGAGAGTTGGTTGGTAACACCAAGTTAAACACACAGGATGTGAGATATTGAAACAGTAATAGAAAAGTTAACAGCTGAAATGCAGAGTCTGGCTTCAGGCATTCGGATTATGAAGCTGGTGCAAAGAAATCCTCAGCAGTGAAACTTAAAAGATTCTGTTATAGTGTAAGGATGGCCCACAGTCTAACCTGATCAAGAAAACAGAAAATGTGATGCTGCCACCAACCTATGGGAGCAAGACACTTGTGGCAGAAGGTGATTTCATGATGGCCTATCTACAGCTGAAAAATTTCAGACCTGAAGAAAAATAAACAAATAACAACATAAAACCAAACATATAATAAATTAAGAAAAACTCAGAAAAAATGCCCACCCTCCAGGACACAGATCTGTTGTCTATACCTAGGAAATACTTTCCTGTAGAAATGTAATTTTGATTAAGTCTTCTGACATATACATGTAAATGGGACTGCGGGTGAACACTGACAACAGACATGAAGACTGTGGTCTGCTTTCAGAATTGGGGAATTTTTAGTGTGGGTTCTACATGCACCTGAAAAGCATTATATTGATTTCATGTAAGTTTAATTTCAAGAGCATTTATTTAAAATAGAACAATTAGATCAGTTTCTGTGTTTTATTGTAAATGTGGAAAATGGTGGTGTTCCTTAAAGCACTTAAGACATGTCTTCCCTCTTCATTTTCAAGGTGCATCATCCATACTCCAACATGCCATATGATATTTAAAATATTGGTCATTGAGTACAATATGCAATCACAACATATATTCAGTCGACAACACGAGGAAAGCAAGAGCGTAACTTTCAGAAACCTGTACCTCACTGGACATTATGCTATGTGTGAACATTCACATACACCTGTATTTTTTTCAAGAAATAAATGTTTAGTTTCTCTTCACATTAATAATCCTTGCTACTTTCCTGTGCTATCAGCTGAAAGGTAATGACAACTTAAGGACAAAAAAGCCAATTTGGAAATTTTTATATAATCAACCTATCATCACCTTCCCACCTTGCAATCCTCGTTTTTAGCTAAAAGTACAGCAAAATATTTGTGTACAGTTTCAGACAAAAAGGTTTAAAGGAATAAGTTTGGTGCCACAAAGACTTATGTTACAGTTCGTTTTTACTCTTGATAGATCAACATTGTAACAGACTTGGAAAAGAAATAACAAGCTCTTTGTTAAGCCTTTTCAGCAAAACTATATTATTAAACTCAGAAACATTTTTATTTTAAGTGAAAGAAGATGAATTAAGTATTTCTATTCACAATGCTTGTACAATTATGAAAGCATTGTGCTTACCACTTGTAAGTCTCCTATCAGTACAGGATGCTTTGTGATCTACTACAGGCTGGATTCAAAGTGAGAATTTTAGCAAGCAATGTTTAACTCAGAATGTCCAGCCTGGCATCCCAAGACTTCTAACAGACTCCAAAGCATGACGATCCAACTATGCAGGAGGATTGCAGGTATCTGCTAGAAAGTACAATTCAGCCAGCAGCAAACACTTATGTATCAAGACAGCTGCCAGCGCACATGGACACTTTCACTTCCCCACCATAGTTCTTTGAACAGTGAATTCTCTAGAAATTTCCTTTTCTAGTATGCCCGAAATAAGAGTTAAATATTCATAATTTTGAAGATATCCAGAAATCCAGAAAGGATCATTTAAAATGAGCTTTAATCAAACTGAGATTTGACATGGCACTGTTTCATTAAACAGAACACTGAAATGAGTTGAAGTTATAGTTTGAAATCTAAATAAATTCTCTCCACACCTGCTGCTGCTGTTCTGTTCCCTTCTCGTGCTTTTGCCCAGGATCCTTCTTCATTCCTCTCAGCATTTTTGTTTCACTCTCGTCTACCTCTTTCAGTGCTACTGCCCACCAAGCTCATTCTGTCCATGCTATGAAGATGACTGTTATAATAAAACTGACATTTATATCTTTGATATATATTAAGTGATTGATTTAAAGATCCTGCAGAAAGGAATAAAGGACCACTGTTACCAAATTTCCTTTGAGAACTCCAACAGTATTTGTTCAATGGCACATTTGTATGCAGTAAGCACAAAATGAGAAGAGTCATAGACTCTGGGTTGTTGGAGAAGCATTTTGGTAACTGGACATTTGCAAGTCACTCTTGCATGGGATATTCACAAGACAAGAAGTTACAGTTGAGGCAAAATTCAAAGCAAGCTTGCCCAGTCACACATTTCCCAAAGAACTGGCAATGGTTTACCTGCATAGTATTACATTAGGATTCTCCGCTTCAGCCTCTCTCCAATGCTATCACAAGCAAATGGCTATGCTTCCCAACCATCTGTTTGATAACAAATTCACTTATTTCCAGTCTCAGGCAGCAAACATTTAAAAAAAAAATTATAATAATAAGAAAATAATGGATAATGTGAAAGTGACTTCTCCAGTTTCATAATATAAATCTCCCAGCAACAATTGAATTATTTCAATCAACACATGCATTTAATACAAGTTCAGGATTAGTTCCAAATTGAGAAGTGGACACTCAAATTTTAATAACAATATCCAATTTTCTCTCAAGCACGACTCTTCATTCCACTGTGAAGTGTCTCTCAAATAAACAATCCCAGTTCATAATTCAGATGAATGTTCAGAAGTTCAGAACATGAGGGATGCATTACTACATACCTACAGCTGCCTACCTTACGCTGATGTATGAACTCACTCAGAATCCCAAAGTGTGTTTCTAGATACATCTCTTTTCAGCTTCTTCATTTTTGCCAGCTGTTTTTACTCTCCTTTTCCAGACTTTTTTCTCTAGCTGCATGTGTTCATCTCTATCAAAAGAGAACCTAATGCCTCAGGTTAGCATTTATTAATATGTTTCAAAAAGTCTGGGGTTTCTTTCCCTCAAAAAACCTGGCAGCACACCTTGTCTCTAGAATTCAGAAGTGGTATGGCCCAAGAGTTATCAACACAACTCTGATGAGTGTCAAGATGGTGCAACAAATAGAAATCAAAGGCTCAGAGCAGCATGAGGTACAGCTGATTGCTCAGAACTGTGTCCAGTCAAGTCTTTAATGTCTTCAACTATGGAGACTCCACAACTTCTCTGGGTAACTCATTCCAGTGTCTGACAACTCTTACATTAAAAAAAAAAAAAGCTTTCTTTCATTTAAACAAAATTTCCTGTATAGCAATTTATGCCCGCTGCCTCTTGTCTATTCACTGGGCATCATCAAGCAGACTCAGGTTCAATCTTCTTTATTCCCTCTCATCATTTATAACCTACATAGATAAGATCCCTACTGAGTCTTCTTCTATCCAAGCTGAACAGTCCAAGCACTTGCATCTTCTGCTTGTATGACAGATGCTCCAGTCTCTTTATCACCTTCATGGCCACTTTCTACCCTCACTACATGCAGCATTAGTCACTGAGTTAACTTTAGTATTTCTAAGGCCTGAAGTACCCACATAAATCCAAGAACATGAAACAAACAGCACATCTCTTTTCCCTGCCAATCTTAATCATTCTGACAAAAGCGCTAAGCTAGTCTTGCACATCTGGGACACTAAGAAAAATGGTGGTGGAGTCACCATTCCTGGAGGTGTTTAAGGAAAGGCTGGATGTGGCACTTAGTGCCATGGTCTGGCCGACGTGGTGGTGGTGGGTCACAGGCTGGACTTGAAGATCTCAGAGGCTTTTCCAGCCTCAATAATTCTGTGATTTTGTATGAAAAATAAGACCTTCTAAGAAGTTTACAGCAATAGGAAGAACTCACCTTAAGACTCTTTAAAAAAAAGCTATCATGACTTGGATTTAGTTTCCATGTTACTGAGAGTCTACACTACTGAAAGGAGAGAAGCTCATCATGGATGTTTTGCCCTAGAACCCCTTTCCAGTAGGGCAGCACCTCTAATAGCACTTTGCAGTCATAAGCAAGTAGCATATAAAAATTCTCCCACTTCCATCCTCAGCAATTTTTAGTTCATTTTTCAGATGAAAGCTACAAGTTGAAATTACGCTGTTCCTCGAGGAAAATAAAACTAAAGTGAAGATATAAACCAGAAGCTGGTAGAAACTTCAGAGTTTCAGCAGTGCTTGCAGAAATACTGTCAGATTGAGCTTTGTGTTGGAATTTTCAGTAACACAGCCACATCCTGAACTCCACCAACAGGACAAGTTTCCTTACTTGACACAAATGGGTTAAGTGAGGAAATCTGCGCAGAAAAAAATATCAGAATAGATGGAGCATGGGTCCTGCTATTGACATGTTGCTACCATAAGCAGTATTTGTTTTGTTAGACTTCTGGACAGGGTCTAATTACAATTAGAAGCTGTGATGTTGAAAGATAATTAATTCTTGACCTACGATGATCATCTTGCTAAACTTTACGTTGTTATCCACTTTAATTATTCATAGCTGTAACACAGCTCTGCCTTCTCATCCAGTTATTTTAATGATTCAACAGATTATAAATCAAGTGACAAGGACTCCAAGATTCACAATCACTTTAAGTCAACATCTTCTAACGTCCATGGTAAAATATTCTCCTTCATCCTCAGACTCAATTTTTTCACATAATTATCATATTAAGTTGCTTTTATTATGGTTTGTGCCATGCTTCCTAATGAAATACTACATTTTGCTAGGTTTGGTTTATTTTTACTACTTTTTAAAATTCTTTCTTCCAAATACACACTCACACTAAGTATGCACACCTTATGTGTATTTTTAATAAGCAACTTTGCAGTTCTCTAGGTTCTCAGTCCAAATAAATTCATACTTAAGAATGAAATATAAAAATAATTAACCCAAGTATCCCCCAGCTTTACTTGAAGCACCTTTTTCTTTAAACTAGAAAACTGACTCCATTGATGTTCCTCCAAATCGCTCAGAATCAGTGCCTTATATAGGATACCTCACAAATAGCAGACACTGAACCATGGAGATTTAACTACATTAACAGTTTTTCTTTAATCTTAACCTTTCATCATTATTTCTGCTCTTTTGCTTACTAGGAGTAGTACTGCTCATTAAAGAAAACTTAATTCAGAGGCAGTGTGTCACAGTAGGTTACAGTAAAGACTGAACTCAATATAGTTTCTCTGAATGCTGCTCTCAACTGAATGGCTAATTTGCAGTGCCATGTTGTACCCTTGAACCTAAAAGCCAAAACTGCATTATCAACAATCTGCTTTTATATATGTCACTTTTTTCTTTAAGCCAATTTACCTTTTTCATATGCAGGTGTATTCTCTTGCAGCAGTCTGCTAAGCTGGAACCCATTCAAGTGCATAAAACGCAGCTGCTCTCTCATTGTCTTGCGTCCCACAACTGGCAATATAAGGTTTCCAACACTGTTTCTTGAAATCGGTAGACCAAGACCTACTGCCAGTGTGCTAGCTAAATCAGTTTGCTGTACAACTTCAGGCTGAGTTAAAGGACCTAGAATCAACAGCAAAAAAAAGGAAAAAAGAGAGAGAGGAAGAAAGGTATTTCAGTAACCGGCCCATTCTATTTCTCCAGACAGGTGGCATCTTGCTGGTTTCAAAATTCTTTCATTGGTGTTAGATCAGCTACCTCAAGTGATCTACATGCAGCTGAGCAACCATTTTCAGCTGCTGTCCTCTGCTGTTGTAAAACCAAAATTTATTCAATTCTCAGCAAGTATCACTCTTCAATGCTAGCAACTACTATGAACACAACATGAATGTATACAAGCACAAGTAAGAAAAGAGATAGTCCAGAAGATGACCTTAATATCATGTTGCAGCCCACATCCTAAGAGGGTTTGATAACTTTTATATTAGAAAGAATAGAAAGCACTACAGTAGACTAATTTAATGCATGAACAAAGAATGAGAATCTAAAATAATGCTGACAGTACTGCAGAAGCTTCTGAATATGACAACAGCTCAAAATTTAATTAATATCAGGTTGCTAGGCAAACAGAATCAAAGGTCAGGTAAAGAATGCTGAGGCCCAAATTCAAGGCTCCATGCATGCAAACACAGTAATTTTTAACAGGTTCTATGCAGGATCCCATTACCTTACTGCAGTTATCAGGATGAGCCTTCAGTTCCACAGACATCTACATGTGTGAATGATTTCGCTAACTACAAGTAACCTTTTGTTTAACATTGTATTGCCAATTGTTTCTTTGTGTGGTTTACTAGTTACATAACAGTGTTTTTGTATCATGCTTTTGCCTTGTTCTCCAGGCATTGAGTGTTTTGACTTAAGTACAGTACAGAAAGAATTCTATATACAGTGTTTATTACTCTCAGGGCTCCCTTTAAGAGCATTAAAACTCCTCTCATTTCTCATCGAGCTCTGATTAATCCCACACTTGTACAGAATGCCATCTATAATCCCTAAAGTCTCTTTGCATGAGTGCCTCTCTGTCAGCAGTGTTCAGATTTGATCCTTAAAGGTAAGTTCTTAACTGGTTAAAAAAGCTAAACTACCAAAGGCGTTTAGACAATCATGGGTGACACATCTCTGTAGAAGGCTACACAAGTAATATTCTGACAGCATACTAAATGCAAAAGCCCACAGGATTACTATTTTGAGGTCTACCAAATTAACCACAGTACATTTTGTTTACAGTAGGATCATAAGGAGCAGTCACTAGAATTCCAATTACTGTAGCAGTGAGCAGCAAGCTGCTGAATATTTAGATGGGCATCCTTAGAAATCACAAACTCAATCGCAAAAGATAGATATATTTCACTGTATTGTAAAAACTGCATATTCAGTTTAAACCTAACAGAAACTAAACCTAATGAACAAGAGGTTGTATTTACAGAATCTACACTCACGTGGCCTGGTTGTCAACACACACCAGTGAAATTTATAAAGCAAAAACTTACCCGAGAGCTTTGGTCAGCTCTTGACTTTGTTTTGGTTTTATATCTGAAAAGAGTTAAATTACTTCTCAAGCAATGCTATTTATTACAGCTGGATAACAGCTTTATAAATGACAGACTTAAGATAAAAGTACTTCCACTGTGCTGCTGGAACCTCCAGCAAGATAAACAAGGCAAGGTTCTGCAAACAGGTTTTAAACGCAAGGAAATCAGATGGAAATGAGCAAGAGGCAGAAAGAAAAGCAGAGAGAAGTACTATTTTGAAGAAAATAGTCACTCCTGGTATAACTACATTTCACCGATTCACTCAGCCAAGAAGTTTATTTAAACAAGACTCTACAAATTAAAGATTCTCTACCACATTAATCCCTTCTTGCCTCTTACCTTAGGCTGTATTATACAAATAGAAAATTAGTTTCAGAAACAGATAAACTCACATCAATTATTTAAAATTAACTGCCTAGCCAAGGTAGTAAATACACTCATGCTCCATATTCTTTCCTTAATGCTTAGCAACCAATAGTGATGTTTTCTCTGCTGCCACACTTCACCATTTCACAAGAGAAATTCTGTCTCCAATTACTCACAAGCATGAGAAATTGTCATTCATTCCTCCATTCTGGCTATCTGAGAGGGAACAAGGGAGGCCAGGGCAATATTCTGGCCAAGAAAGACAAAACTTAAAACTCATTCCAAATAGGATTTTACTTCTAAACCAATCCACAGATCTTATTAGCTCTCAACACTCAAATAGGACACTGTTCCAAAAGGTTATAATCTGATAAACACTGAATTCTCTCAGTAGTTACAAAGCCTGTGTTGTGGTTTCACCATGACACAGATGCAACTTCTGTCTCAAACCAGAGTTTTAGGTCACACAGAATGGGCCTTGCCAGATATCTGTAGAAAAAAAATCAAAGCACTTTTCATGAGGAATTGTAGAGCTAATATATGTTAGAGATAGCAATGTGTTCTAAAACAGTTCAAGCTTCTTTGATCCTTACCACTTCTCTTTTCAAAAGCAGAGCTGATAAACAGCAGTGGTGTGTGCACTTCTCCTTCTGAAGAGCCACCATGACTTCCTGTTTCAGACATTCCATGATCCCCACAGACAACAAGCAAATTGGGCAGAGAAGGTTCTTCCTGCAAGTCACAGAAATAAATTTAAGTTACTGTACAAACAAGATGTGTTTATATATAATACTTCACTATCTTTACCACTTTCATATATGAATATATCTCAAAATAAATTCAGTTTTTTAAATTGGCTCACAACACCTCGGACAAATTACAAGAGATGTCTGCAACTAAGTGTTATGTAATAATTTTTAACAGTTAAAGTACACATACGTATCTAGCACACTTGTCAGCATGTTAAAAAGCACAGAACCACAGAATGGTAGGAGTTGGAAGGGACTTCTGAAGACCATCTAGTTCAACCCCCCTGCCAGAGCAGGATCACCCAGAGTAGGTCACACAAGAACACATTCAGACGGGTTTCGAATGTCTCCAGAGAAGGAGACTCCACAACCTCTCTGGGCAGCCTGTTCCAGTGCTCTGTCACCCTCACAGTAAAGATTATTTTCCTTATGTCAGGTTGAACCTCCTATGTTCCAGTTTGTGACCATTGCCCCTTGTCCTGTCACTGGGCAAAACAGAGAAGAGTCTGGTCCCATTCTCCTGACACCTGCTCTTTTAGATATTTATAAGCATTAATGAGATCCCCTCCTCAGTCTTCTCCAGGCTAAACAGACCCAGCTCTCTCAGCCTTTCCTCATATGGGAGATGCTCCAGTCCCCTCATCATCTTAGTGGCTCTACGCTGGACTCTATCCAGTAGGTCCTTGTCCTTTTTGAACTGCGGAGCCCAGAACTGGACACGCTATTCCAGATGTGGCCTGACCATGCAGAGTAGAGAGGAAAGAGAACCTTCTTCGACCTACTGGTCATACTCGTCTTAATGTACCCTATGATACCATTGGCCTTCTTGACTGTCAGGGCACATTGCTGGCTCATGGTCAGCCTGCTGCTGTCTATCAGGACTGTTAGGTCCGTTTCCCCTGAGCTGCTCTCCAGCAGGTCATCCCCCATCCTCTCACTGATACATAGGGCTGTTTTTCCCCAGGTGCAGTACCTTACACTTGCCCTCATTGAATTTCATTAAGTTTCTCCCCACCCAGCCCTTCAGACTGTCCAGCTCATGCTGAACGGCAGCAGAGCCTTCTGGTGTGTCAGTCACTCCTCCCAGTTTTGTATCATCAAACTTGCTGAGTGTACATGCTGTCCCATTATCCAGGTCACTGATGAATATATTGAACAGAGCCTCCAACTAGACTCTGCCCCACTGACCACAACTCTCCGAGTTCCGCCCTTCAGCCAGTTCCCAATCCACCTCACTATCCACTCATCTAATCCACACTTCTTTAGTTTAGCTGTGAGGATGTAATGAGAGACGGTATCGCAAGCCTTGCTGAAGTCAAAGTAGACCACATCCACTGCCCTCCCCTCATCTACCCGTTCAGTTATACCATCATAAGGTGCTACCAGAATAGCCTTTGTAATTAGCCTTTGTGGTAGCCATCATAAAAGGCTACAACAAAAAAAGCTTTAAAAATACCCTCTCATTTACAGAGTCCAAAGAAACTGACTGAAGGATTAAATAAAGGTCAGCACGCTGTGAGAAGAAAATCAGGAGTCTAGGAGCAGTAGCATTAACAGAGTAGTATTCCCTCCGCTCTATTTCTTCAGCTTCACTGAGTTTTTAATATAACATAAATGCCAAATTATTAATGCTGTAAATATTAACATAATCGAAATTTAATATTAAAAGATAATCCTATCACTAATAGTCTGTAGTCTCGCAAGTGCTTTTGGGGTAGAAATCTGACACAACTGACGTCAAATGGTGTTTATTTTTCTGAAGAGAAACAGAAGCATAGCGGGGGCCTGTCCAACAATTTTGAGCTAACGAATCAAAGAGGGCAGAAAATAAATACTGTCATTCCACAACAAAGTATGTTTTTGTCATCTCTAGCTATTACCAGTACCTGCTGTATCGAAAACTAAAGTGCTTTTATTATTTCTACATCCTAAAACTGAGATAAAGGCTTGCACATACCTGGCAAAAGCGAAGCATACTAACAAACTGCAGCAAAACCACTTCAACACTGATGAGATTATAACTTTCACAAGTAGGATTTAACCTCTGTTTTCATACAGTAGTATCCATTTGTCTAAAAATAATACTGAAATTTTATGAGCAGCTATTCTGAATTGCAGTTGTCAAAAACAAACACGAAAAAAGCTTCAGGTCACTTGGAATTAGGACCTGGTATTTCAACAACCAGTCTATTTAGCTAAGTGACATCCTGTGTTTCCAAATTTAAAAACAGATTCGGATTTGGTAATTTATGTGCTCCATTTAGCATAAGAAAAATGCTGTTTATACCATTTCCATTTGAATGTTTTCAATATTTAAGAATTGGGTATGCTTTCACAACTGTAGAAATCAGGGTCTTTAGCTATTCATGCCCATTTTTCCCTTCTGCTGAATGCCATTACTAGAAAGCACACCAACCACCCTTTTAATTCATGAGTGATAAGAGACTTTTGGCATGCATTCCTCTCCTGTTCTTGCACACCAAAGAGCAGTTACTTCGCACAGCTGTTTAGAAAAGACTGTTTACAGATGTTACTGAGGTCAGCCAGTTAATCCTTAAAAATGCTACAACATAGAGTTAACTGGGCCATGGAAGGAAAAGATCTATGTCCGCTTCGGTCTAGGGATAAACAAGCTACCACACACAAACATGAAAGCATTTTACAGTTAGTCCACAACTAACATACATTGATCCAAGAATGATCTATACTACCTTTGAAAGAAGAGAAATATGAATCTTCTTCAAGACGTTATCCATTTCACGAAGTTTTGGTCCCACTAATGGGCTGTTTGGTCCAGTCATATGTCCAATGTGGTCCAACCCAAGGTAATGTAGTATTAGAAGATCCCAGTCTTCTCTCTTTAATACTCTATCCAAATGCCTGGTAACATTATCATCAACCTCAGAAATAAAACAAAAACAATTAAAAGGTAAAAATATCTTCCCTTTTGTAAAAAGCATAGAAAAATCAGATCGCACGAAAATTCTGCAGAGGTTTATGAGAAATACAGTCACTCACAACATATTAATAAAAAAGAAAAAAAAACAGATTGATTTGTTCAATCTCAGGCAGTCAAAAAGAAAAAAAAATCTCTGACAAAACAGATTCTTTATCCCATTTCACTCTTTTCTGGTTATAAGGCATCAGATTACATACAAACAGAGAAAACGGGTTGCCATGCTTCCACAGATACTTTAAAAAACTGTTCCAATAAATTTTTGGTCATTTTCATCCTTCACAGTCCTGATTTTTCCCTGTACCTACTTGTCAAGTTTTAAGCCTCTCTTTGGTGCTTGGAAGCACAGGAGAAAAAACCCTTTCCTGCTCTTTTCAACGCAGTCTTTGCTACTGTGCAAATACAAAAAGATTGTATTTGCTGTGAGAAAAAGAACTGATGACATACCAACAAAGAAAAATTATCTGAAAAGTACTGTTTGGGGTCTCACTCACATGTTCTCCTGTTTAGGTTGACAACCTATTTTTAGTCGCATATATTTCTCCCTGGATATTAAAAATCCTTACAAAATTTCACATCACGAAATATGAGGAGTTGGAAGGGACCTCAAAAGCTCATCCAGTCCAATCCCCCTGCCAGAGCAGGATCACCTAGACTGGGTCACACAGAAACGCATCCAGGCGGGTTTTGAATGTCTCCAGGGAAGGAGACTCCACAACCTCTCTGGGCAGCCTGGTCCAGTGCTCTGTCACCCTCACAGTACAAAAGTTTTTTCTCAAGCAACATGCAACACTGCTTTGTTGACTCTGGATATAACTATCTAAAACACTAAAAAAAGCTTTCTGTTTAATGGACCATATTCAGAAAGCATAAAGACTGCATAAAGAGCTTGAGAATCACATAACCACAGACCCAGCTGCAGGTTTTCATTTATCCACGCCATGTTGAAACTTCTGTAAATCTTACCAGAGTAACTAATTAAAAGTGTTTTCCAATTCGCGTTAGACCTGTCTAACTTGCTTAAACATGATAATAAAATACTTAGGTCAGTAGCAGCACATCAATGGCCTGAGGTCTTACAAATCATAAAGGCTCAAAATACGAACTAAAACCGCCAAACCATTTACTCTTTTAGTAATAAGAAATTTTCACCATTTGTTTCAATTACTTTCTGTGTTCCCTCTTTGATAACATACTTAAACGCTACTCATATGGTAACTATAAAAGCAATAAAATACTATAAAAGTATGTCTCTAAGATACAAAGATTATATATTAATGAGACTTTTCAAGATGACACATATTAATATAAATGTGATAGTAAACTGGAAACACGGATAGCAGAATTTTTGAACAAAGCAAGTGATCTTTGTGGTCTAACATCCTACCACAATAAGTTTGGCGAGAATATCATATATCTAGGATAGTTATACAGGAATGACTCTTTGTTGCTATATCATTCAAACATTTCCCACAGCATATGCATGAAGGACTGAGATGCTCAGCTCCACACTGCAAATACTGAAAACACATAAATCCAATTTCTATTTCATTGCTAGGTTCGTAATTCAGAACAAGGATAGCTGTACTCATTCATTCTTAGAAGTTGCCACTATGCGTTTGTACTCACATTATTTAATTTGGGATTATTATACAAAGCCTCTCACCTCTGTAAAGTCGGACACAAAAAAGGATGTTGTTCCATCATATTCCACAAAATGCTTTGGAAACAACTTAACCCAAGTATCATCACCAAAAAAGATTATTCTTTTCCCAGCTGTTTTTGCCTGCCATATCAAATTGTCATCCAACAAAGCTGGAGAATTGAGATTCACAATAACATCAATGAAACCAGGTATGCTACCTGTCATCAAAGCCTACATAAAACAAGAGAAATATTAACAGAAATCAGAAAGTTTCCAATACTCAGAAGATAATATTAGTGTGAAAGGAAGCAAAAAAGCAGAGGGCAGAGAAACTACACTTTCAATCAAGACACATAACAAAGTAAAAGAACATATTAGCTGCCATGCTACATCATATCATCTGCCACAAGACATTGTGAGCTGATGTCAGAGATCATAACTGTTTTACAGAAAGGTAAAAATAGAATTTTCTTAATTAGTGGACAGCAAAATGGCTTTGTATGCCAGTTGTAATTACCTTCACTTACTTGTCATTAAATCACCAAAAAGACAGTTTAGAAGGCCTAAGTAAACTGTCTTAACACAACAATAACAATGGCAGTACATTCAAAACAGTAATTAAGAATCTTCTGAAAAATGCAATGAAGCCCACCTATCAAGACTGCCTCCTCCTCACTCACTGGCCTTCTGGCTGGCCTACTAAAACGCACTCTTTCAGCTTCTTCAGTGCAAGAAATGTCAATCAGATCCATCAATGAGAAGCTTGGATGATCAAGTATTTTGATGACACAACCACAATTCACCTTTTAGTTACCTGAAACTTGGCACAATTTTCTTTTTAAGCTCTGCAAAAACATCCCTACGACAAAAAAAATTACACTAAACTGGATTTCCTATCAGAATTTACTAGAATATGGAGAAATACCAACAAAAATGTTCTTAGATAGAAGACAACTGGAAAGTTTGATGACTGAGAGGCTACTGCCTTCCTATAACTACAAATGTTATCATTATATTATGTCCATCATTTAAATCTTCACTACCTTTAACTGATTCTCACAGACCTTTTCACCACAGAGTTACCAAATAAAGGAACAAAGCAAGGCAAAGTGACTTAAGTGGAACCTGTCACCTCTTCCCTTTACTCAGTCACTCTACTTTCCTTAAAATCCTGACCTAACTTTTCCTGCAGGACTCTATCACACGTCCAACTACTGCAAAGCAAGTTTCAGCCACAACTTGCAATAACACAGCAAACCTACCCTTTATGTTAACTGAGCATACAAAACAACCCAGTCAACAGAACTTTCTCAAATGAAACAACCCTAAGTGGAAAAAACACACTTACCTTAATTCGAGGCATAGTCACAGTGGGCGGCTTTGCTTCAGCAATGAAACTGTGGGATGTCCCTTTTTCAACAACTTGCGTAGTATATGGCATGAACTGTTTGCCTTTGGATCCAAACACAAAATCATCTCTCAAAGCATCTATCAGCACAATGACTACTTTTTTAAAAAGCGGTAGAGGAATTTTGGACCAGTTAGAAACCATTCCTAAACAGCAACAAAAAAGGGTATACAGAAATCATCAACAAGTTTTAACAATGGCTATACAGAAGTTAAAGGTCAACATCACAGAAATTAGTACTATCAACTTTTTTATTAACTTTACATTCAGAAACGAGAAGTTGCAAACAATAGCAAACATGAGAAGTAATCAGAGGAAGCTGAGTTTTCAGGTCATCCAGCACAGGAATGACACAGCAACAACAGAAAATCCAATACAGCATCTAGGAAGGAAAACAAAGTGTGAATGGAATGCCGGATGTGAAATTGGAAGAACTAAGGAAAAGCTATGAAATGAAGAATGTCCAAAAGAATAAGAGATAGCTGGTACCTTCTCTCTGGTTAACTTAGTAATGCTGAACTACATATATCCAACAGGCAACTTTTGTTAGAAAAAAGATTCACCTATGCCAATACCCAACTTTGCACATCAGAACACAGAATCATAGAATCGTTTGATTGGAAAAGACCTTTAAGATCATCAAGTCCAACCATGACCTAACTAAGCCAAATCTTCAGCTAAACCATGTCCTTTAATACCACATCAACCTCAAGCGATGCCTCTCAATCAAATCCCACCACAGGAGAACAGGAAAACTACAAAGAAATAGACAGCTTCACTGAAACCTGAAGAGAAAATACTTGTGCGCACTTGAGACCTTCAAGGTAGAGGATTGTATGCCAGGGCAGTTTGGTGATGGCAGCTGCAGGGCCAAAATCCAATTCCAGAATGTCTTAAACACACAGCATGAGTGGGCACAGCAAAATCTCTACCAGGAAAAAACACAAAAGGACAAAATGGAAGCAGAATGGATTCTACCCACAGATCTCTACTCAGACAGCATTGTGGTGAATCAGCTTCTCACTACATGAATTATATAAAAGTCAGTGTTTTACACTTCTTTAAATTGTGTTTATGAGTAAGTGGTTGACCACTTGGAAAGGTCACAGATAATGTGCTTAACAAGAGAACCTCAAAAAATAACCTCAGAAACAGTATTTTGGATTGACAGATAAGCATCACTAAATTGACATTCACAGACCAGTTACTGCTAGTGATTTTTCCAGATAAGGAAACCAGGGAGGGAAGCAGAGCAGGGGGAAGAATGAAATCTCACAAAAGCAAAATGCTAACTGCCAGCAACCCTGATTAAGATGATAATATTGTTTTTCCAATTTGAATTATCAACTTAGCAGGCATGCTCTGGCTCTCAGTGAAAAACAAGAAGGCACAGCTAGATGTACTGTACTGTTAGTTAAAACTTTCTCATAATTTACTCCTGTCCAGTTGCTTAGGGAAACAAAACTTGCTGGACACCAAAAATGTTCTGATCCCTAACACAGATACCCTACTCACAACTCCCTCCTACAGTGTCATTCATCAGTAAGTCAAAGTATTGATGAGTGTAAAGGAATTAGGAGTCAATTACGACCCATCTGAAAAGACCTACTATAAGATAGCTAAAGCAATACATTGTAAATAAGCATGCATATTTAGCCCTGTCATGGTTATTTAGAAAACAGTTACTTTAAATAAAGCTGAATTTCTGCAAGCAGTGAACAAAACCATAGGTCCTACCAGAAAACTTACCACAATGATGTGCTTCAAAGATCTGTTATCATACAAGCAACTTCACAATTTTATCAGTCATCCCACAGGCAAGACAGCACGGATTCAATGGCAGTCAGGGCTCAAAAAGTGAAACACTCAAGAAATACAGAAGCACTGAAGAAATATTCTTTTCTGAACAGATCTTAAGGACATTGAAGCCTTGTGTAGCATGCATGGTTTAGTAAGCAATCCCCTGCCTTTAACTCCTATTATCCAGAACAAGAGATTACTCTGCAAGCAAACTGTAACCTGAGAACTACAGAAAGGAAGTATTCTTCCACCGTCACTCCACTTTTGCCTGTCTGCATCTAGGATTACTAGTGACATGCCTAAATTTAAACTGTTTGTAGAGCCCTGCAGTACACATTTACACTCTTCAACTCAAACTAGTCTTCTTAAAACCCAGTTGTCTGACACTTCCCTTCCAACACAAGTCTCCTTCCACAGTAGTCTCCTGACAATAATGACATGTGATTGCAACTTTTCACTCGCAGTAGCCCATCAAACATTTCTCACAGTCTCGGTAATCTCCAGTTAAAAAGCAACCTGCCATTTGGTAGCGTGCACTCAGGTCTGTGTACCAGATTAGATTATTTCAGTGTTCCTGCTTAACTGATAGCACACAATGCTCTAAAATTACACAACCTTCTCTTCCCTCCACTGTTTCTTGCAATTTAAGTAAGCCTGTCCCAACATGCATAACGCCGTATACTTCAGAAGTATTAAGAATAACAAGCAGAATAACTAAGCTAACAGTTTGGCAGTTACCACTAAATTAACCTTAAGTAGATGTCCCAAGGAATGGCTTTGTATGAGCAACATATGACTCAATTCAGCTGTCCACTGAACCTGAAGTTTCACCCCACAAGCTCCAAACACCAGCAAAGAACACTCCTTCAAGTACACGCATTCCTCTTCTTCCTATTAGTTTAATACAACTTATGACTGGACAGATAAGACAGCTATGTATCAGCACATCCTCTACTGACTCTTTGTTAAAAAGATGCTTGAAAACTTTGGTTTCACAATTTCTGCTAAGGAATACAGCAGGACCTGTAGAGACCATGATTTCAGACAAACAGTAATGGACAGTAAAACTGTGCCTTTTGCAGTCTGAGTGGGCTGCGAAGGAAACCAATATACTACAGCTGCCCTTCTCACTACTGAAGTGTTAAAGTCTCACTAAAGTGGCATCAAGACACTCATGCATGACTGTGAGCATCACAGAAACAATTATTATAAAGCATTACATAGCCAGTAAGTTAACACAGCAAACATTTGAAGCATTATATCTGAAATGGCATTATTTAATGCAAACAACTTACCATTAAAGAGTATGGGTATGACAGCCACATCAGCAATAGGGAAAGGGGAATAAAACGACTGAAAAGCACACCCTCCAAAAACATGACAGCTGATGCTTAAGGCTTTTTGCAACCACGAGCAGATACTGCTGGCAGTGATCACAGGCAAAAATAGTTAAGTTCTCAACTATTTCGGAAACAGGTCTGCAAACACGACGAGGCTACAGAAAGCCGCCATGCAGCATCAAGGGACCTCATGGCACATGGCCCGCACCGGCTGCCCCTGCCTTTTGCAGCCTCACACCCCAAAAGACCCAACACAAACCGACGGTGGCAGGCGCAATGGTGACCGGCAAGCCCCGCTAGGGTTCCGCCGCCCCGTGCCTCACCCCGCCAGGCTCTGGCCGAAGAGCGAGATACAGTCAGGGTTTGCAGGGACAGGCCAGGGCGAAGGATGGGAGGGGGAAGGAGCGCGACTGCCCTGGTGACCAAGGGAGGGGCGGGCTACTGGGG